TGTAACCTCTGCCTCCAAAACCTCTAGTGCGACATTCCCAGCCCTCACTTTCTCATTTAGTCTGACGATCAGCACGTGATACTTGTTCAAAAATTCACGAGTACAACTCGATTTTCCGAAGATCTTCTTTCTTTTCAACATGTTACGTAATTGTAAATTTGGTGTTTATTATAATTTTGCTATTTCAAAAAGGTAAAAATATTTAAAAGTATCATTTTATTGTTTTTTTCCCTGCATTATGACTTTTGCAACGGTGGCTGAATTGAGAGAAGCTACCGAATATGAATGCACCCGAATACCAAGGGAATTGTTTCATGGTATGTGCGATTCCATTGCTCCGCGTTGTCCGCAGTGTCATGATCGGAATGGACGTCAGTTTGAGAACATTCAGTGATAAAAACAACAAAATTGTACTTGTAACTATCTTTGCATTTTTTAATAATAAAATTATGACAAACACCAATTTTACAAATAGGTAAAATGTGTTTACATTTTTGGGACACCCTGTAGTCATTATCTTAAATTCAATTTCTAATTAAAATGTGATCCGTTTTATGTAAGCATATAAGAATTTGTAAACCAAACTATACCTTTTACAATGAATGGTCGTTACTTTACTGCCGTAAGACTTTGCGGGACGCAGCATGGGCAGGTTTTTCGCACTGTTAAGCAATGTGCTGAAGACGATGTCAAAATACATCACAAAACCGAGGTTTTACAGAACTGATTGAGCCTACACAAAACAGCTGATATTAAACAGTACACTTAGGGCTGAGAGTTATTCGTGTTATTCTTTACACATCTTCCCTCCTCTTGGGAAAATTCCTTGTAAGTCAATTTTTGAATCCCACTTGCCTTGCGTGATGGAGGGCGGATTAAAAGTTAGGCGCGCCAACCAATGGTATTACGCCGACTAGAACACCAATGCCCATGCGTTGGGGCACTGGCCAGATTGGATAGGTCGTTTCAAACCGACCACCTATGAAAACGACCTGAGCCTGGACAAACAGACTTCGAGCATACTGTGGAAAATAAATATCTCCTTTTTCTTTATATCATTTCCAAATACTATCTCTTCGAGGAAAACACCCACACTGCCCACTTAATTTTTCCAAACACATGCTATTAAAATGACATCCACAACAGTTGCCCCGGATTCACTTGAAGCCAAATGTCCTGGCGGCCTCGGTTGGGCTTTCTACGGTCTAGGAGAATGCATCCGTACAAGCAGAGACAAGATTTCTATAGCATTTGGAGTGCTGAGTATTCTGTCGTGGCTTCTTTTCGCTCTACCTCAAATGATAACCAACTGCATAAAGAAAATTCCTGATGAGGCTGTTTCACCTCTGCTACTTATCTTTTGGCTGATTGGAGATTCCTTAAATTTCATCGGTGCATTCCTTACGCATCAACTGTTTCTTCAGGTGAGAAATAGGTTAAAATGCTTGCAAAGAGTCAATCTGGAATTTTCCTCCCTTTATGGTATCATCCAGTGGCGAATATAGACCTTCAGCTAAAATATGTCTGAGATGTAATGAGTGTCTAATACGGCGTGAATGGAACCACCATAGAGTAGATCCTCAATCTCATAAAAATATCCACCCAAATTCTACAAGGCTTCCCGGACGCGAACAATATTACTCAATTATTGTTGCAAAATTGAGTATCATGCAGCCTAATCTCAAGATATTTTAGACAAACAGAATGAATGAGCTTCTTCCTGGCCACCTGCAAGGTGTTCATTCGGTAAAAATTAACTTCTTAAATAGCATACATCTGTGTCATTGATGTTCCATTCCCTGAAAGTTTGAATAATTTTTAAGCCTAGATATACCTTCGTATACTCATTGGATGGCAAATTATGCCTCCTCCAGATTTTATACTTGAAGAAAAAGAGGTCTTAACCACGAGATGCTTAAAGACTGTGAAATATTCCTTCATAGTACATCGTATCCGCTAACTTATTATTTTTTCCTATAAAGTATACAACATGAACCAATTCCATCGCCAAATTTTATGAGCGCTATTTTATCTGTTCCTCATGGCGAGGAGAAATGTGTAATAATCCTTGGACACAATGTGTACAGCGTGTAGTTTTGAAACACTGAATTCAAGTGTAATGGCCGATTGAAATCAAATTATTCGACAATTAATAAAAAAATTCTAAACCGAAAGATATATTTTCGTCAAGTATTACATTTGGAGAAAGCCTAATTTGCTACCCAACGAATACAGGAAAGAATACTTTCCTGAATGCTTTCTTCAAAGCATATTTGACTTAATGATGGCATTAAAAGTTCATGGGAAAGACTTCATGCCAAGTAGCCAGTTTTTTACAGAGTACGCTTTTTGTAGGCGCCTAGAATGAAACATGTTCAAAAGCCGACCTACTGCCGTGGCAGAAATATCTTGAGATTAGGCCGCATCACAATCAGTATTAAAACAATTACCTAAGTAATGTGTCCGAATCGAAAACACATCTCAGAATTTCGGTTGAAATTTCATGAGAAAGGGGGTTAGTTGTTGATTAAATTCACCTCCTTTAAGTTAGATAACGTTTGAATTTTATTTTTGCAACAATTCTTTTTTATCCGATGACCTCGCTTAACGTGAATCGTTCTGAAGCTGCGTTGTATTCCGTAAGTAGTTAAACTGTTTTTTTGCATTTTATCATGGTAACCTTGGAGTTGCATGATTGAGGAGCAAAATAGCAACTTCAATTCCAGCTAAAGAATCAAACGTGAAACATCTTCTCTCCTTAAAAATCCACATAAACCCGGTTTCAACATGCCTTACGTTGATTCACCAGAAGGAGTGCCACGGAAATGTCCTAATTATCTTTTAAAGGTTATTTGGCTTTAAAATCTCCCGGCTTCTCCCTAAAAATCACCCACAATTACCTCCAGAAAGTTCTCGCTGGATATACCGTCGCGGTGGATCTGCTGCTGATTGTGCAATCTATTTACTACGCAATAAGGCATCGAAAAAAAGTACGAGGTAAGTCTGATGTTTTAAATATTGTTTACTTTTGCAGTGTGTTTGTATAGCTTAAACATAGTGCATATTTTGTTGAATAGATAGTCGAGAAAGTTCATCTCTGTGGTATTTGGCTTTGGGTGAAGTAGTTCGCTTTACTCCTTTGTCCGTAAGCTAGCACTTTTAAACATATGTCTTCGGTTACCATCCTCCGGCCTAGAAGATTGCATTGAAATGGCAAACAGGAGAGTTGGACAGATATTATATACATATACCGGTCTAGCCGAGAAAAGGTGAAACTAGATAAAGTTCGACTTCCAATCTTGCAAAACTAGTCGATACGAATCGCCACGTCAACCCCAACGAAACCTTTCTGGTTGTCTATCGGACACCAGCCTACTTCCCTAAAGGTATACGCCAACAGGTGGTAGAAACAGCTGAGAAAGTGGCTAAACGGCTAGAGAATTCTGTGCTGTGTTCCCAGAAGAAGCTAATACTGGCACTCTTATTTCCTTGGCCGACGCCGATGCCCGGTGGCAATCCATGTGTTGCACGGTGACAGTCGTTCACTCCGGGCACGTGACAGCGATTTTCACTCAACGTACTTGACCATGACCACTACACACAGTCTGCCCTTATCCATCCCCAGTCCTTATGAGCTCAGCATGCGACCTCACCATGCGGGTGGTGTGAAAACGATTTATGAACCCAGTCCCACTCTCATATTTGCCTGATCAGTGCAATTGCACAAGACCCATAATGAATTGTTGAAAACATATGTTTGCCGATCAAACTTTTCAAATTGAACGTATAAATATTTGCAGAACTCGACAACATTAAGTTAATCTCAAGAAATTCTTGATAGTTCCGGGGATGTTTATCCTTCTTAAAGAGTACGGTCCTCGTTACAAGAAATCTGACGAAACAGACACGGGGAAAAAGACACCTGTCAAAAGGACTTTGGCAACCGTCATACTTGGCGTCGTGGGTCTCTCCACATTCTATTTATCTCCTGCTTTGCATGGCATGAAAGAGACTCATCATTCCCCACAAGGAAACCTCCCTGGACATCGGTTACTTCAAGCCGTCGGAACAATGACAACCGATAAACCGCTCGCTAGTTTCCTTTCGGTAAGTCTCTAGTCAAAGGTGTGGAGTTCAAGCACCTTTTCATTGCACAAAAATGAGAGCTTATTCATTTTCCGGCAATTAAATCTGTCTATATTGATTTGATGCAATGCAGACGAAGGAGAAGAAGATCGGTTACGCCATTGGCTGGATCGGCACGTTTATGTACTTTTGCTCACGTGCCCCGCAAATCTTCCAAAATGTATGTTGATAAATCTGAACTCTATTTTCCTTATAAGTCCAGCTTCTACAAGAGCTAAATACTGATAACACGTCTTTGAATTTTCTAGTTTAAAAGGAAGTCCACCGAGGGCCTGAGTCCGTATCTTTTCCTGTTAGCCATATTGGGCAATGTGTTCTACGGTCTACAGATCTTCATCAAGTCAACAGATGCTACGTTTATATTGACTGCCCTACCCTGGATCCTGGGTAGTCTGGGAATACTTGTTTTCGACGTTATTGTAAGTAAAGACTATCACTGAGGTTATTTAAGAATTGCAAAAAATTCCTCGAGAATCTAACAAGAATAAATGTATTCTCTACAGATATTGGGCCAGTTTATTGCATATCGAAACAGCACGATTGGTGTGGATAACAATGAGGATCCAAGCCAGAATGGAAAAACCTCCCCACAAGAAGGAGAATACGATCACTCTGAAGTTGCATCCCAATTGTAACAAAACCCTCGGAAGATCTGTATTTTTTATATGTCTAACCTATCAGTAAGGAAGTGTAACTGTTTCATCTGCGCAAAAATAATTTGGAAAATAAGAAACCAGACATTTTTTCACAAGTCATTTGTTGAATTGCATTTTGCTTTCTTCGTAGCACCGACATCGACAAAACATCTGAATGGGCGTTTTTACTCCATAAAGGCTTACTGCAAACGCGGAGAGGTAGGAGTAAAAATAGTTTCTCATTCAAACCCGATTAACTTCCATTCCCCTTAATCTTTAGGAAGCAACTAACGTAGCATAGTTCCACGGGGTTAAGGTTCAACCTTACAGAGTCGTGTCATGTCGAGTCTAAATTGTTCATCTGATTATTCTGCGTTGAGTCGGTGGATTTTTACCAGTTTATTTTTCCCTACCTGCCGTTGGCAAAACGAATAAATGCGGACCAACCATGGGAATTATTGCATTCAGCTGACCGGAATTACTACTTATGAATGAAAGCAGAAAGAGGGAACTAAATTAGGAGCTTCCAGAAATACTATCATCAAAACTTTGCCACTAGCTTTGATTTATGTCAACCGTCCACAGTAGCAGTGACCCCAAGGCTCTCTGTTAAACAGTTCGGTCCCGTATTACCATCGACGAACTCAACCGTAATCTACGAATTATACTGCAACAGTTGTGATTATTAACATGATATAGACTCCGGCCAAAAGCTGACGCGCTTAGAGAAGCAGCGTCTTATGGTGAATACTGAACCCTAAATTTCACCTCTCAATATACGTAAAGGACACTTGCCAAGGTGCGATGGTTGTAGGCTACGACAGCACACTTACCATAGAGGCGTGGTTTTCACACGCGGGCTAAATCATCAGGTAGATTGTCCTGCCTTTGGGTTAACAGGTATGGTGGGGACATCTACATGGAGATCTGGAGAGGAATCCCAAAGACCTTAAGGACCTTAGCCAGACAATTCCTAGGAACCTTCATACTCCAGTAGAAGGGTGACACACGTTTCAGTCATAGACCCGGTCAGTAGGCGAATTGGCTGAGTAAAAGTTAAACTAGATAGATTTCGAGTCTTATTATTGCACACCTAATCGACATGAATTATTGAGTCGATCCCATTCAAGCCGCTGCGGTTGTCTACCGGATACCAGCCAACTTCTCCGAAAGCCAATGCCAACAGATACTAAAAACGGCCGAGATAGTTGCTATATGATAGGGAATCTAGTGTCGTGTTGTCAGAAGACACTGACACAGACACTGTCTATTTCGTTGCCAACACCGACGTCAGGTGGTGATCGCATGTCAACTCCCCTAATGAAAGTTCTTTACTTCGCACATTTTACAGTAATGCTCACTCCGTGTACTCGACAAATAAAAAATGACCACATCCTAGAATGCCCCCGATGTCATCCACACTTGTCCCTCGTCATGCCCTTTCCAACACCCAAATGTTCTATGCAATACTAAAAGCCAGATGATGAATTACTGAATTAACGCTTAAAGTCTGCTTGTAACTATCAATAAAATATGCCTGGCCTTTGACATATTTTAAAACAATGTGTCCAGTTTAACACAGTAGATCTACAAAGACCGGCTTTTTAACCATATTTATCCCTCATTTTATAAGAAATGCACGGCCTACCTAATAAAGGTTTCCTCACATTTGGCGAAAAAAGGAAGACTTTTTATCAATTTTTACAGGCGCTTCATTAAAACTTGCATCCTTCTTGATAGCTGAATGTGAAAGATGGGCACTAAGTGTATAAATACTTCCAAAATGACAGAATTCTAAACTGTGGTATACCTGTTTAAATAGACTCGTACACTTACGTTTCTCACAAACGTTTGCCACGAACATTGTAATATAGTTTATATCTACGACAGCATCCTAGATGAGGCCCATATTTCGTTATTAATGCATGCAAAGACGAAAGAATGTATTAAATGAAGCTTAGGTAACCTATGATTTGACCACTTTACAAAGCAGTAAACACATGGACATCAATATCACAAATATCTAAGAAGTATTTTCGGTAGGATACAGTAACACACGTGACTTTAAGCAAAATTCTAGGAAATATAAATATTATCCTGCCTTAATCCTAACACTGATCCTAACATAAAACACAGCCCTATCACTAATTCTGATCGTAAACGCAACTCTAATTGTATTTCTAATCGCGATTACGCTGAAAATCAGCACTATGACCTCGGGATGGAATAAATACTCTTTTTTTACCTGTCCTGCCTCATTTCCGATTTGAATACGCATCGACTACTTACTATTTTGTGTTTTATTTGCGCTGTATATCAGTTATTAATACCACGAGCCTCGTAGCTCAATGGTAAAGCGTTGCCTGCGCAAAATCCATCCCTGCTGTGTGGGTTGGACTGCCACCGAGACCGCTAAATTTTCACAATTGGTTCAATTGAATTAAGTAGATCTGTCGACCCCCCTCCCCCCAACTAATAATACTGTGTTTGTGAGGTCAATTGATGTGCTAGCATAGTAACCTTACGTGCTTTTCAAATTGAGCTGCCATATTTCCTCCTTCCATTCACATGTAAATTTCCTTATATATACATCGGTTGGCCTACTACGCCCACCATAAACCGATTTTGATCCCTCTTTATTTATTTGTACTACAATAAGGTCAGCAGTGCACGACGCTAGCCTATATTTTACGACTCA